CTGATACTGATCATTTATAATAAAAACATCTATATATTAACAAGGTAAATGTTTGTGAAGATGATTTGTTCAAGAATTTGAAAGCAGTGTCTTAAAATGTTAAGTACATATGTGCATATTATTAAAACCTTAGATATATAAACTAGAGATCAAGTTCTTATTTTTTAAGTGTGTATATTATTAGTAAGTATAATTAGTGATAAAAATTCACATGCTCTAAATTTGTATCTGCACTTGATCTGCTCCTTCCAGGACTGATAAATATTAACAGGGTAGAATAGAAGGGATATGTGAGATTTATTCAAGGAATACCTTAGAAATATTCAAGAATGTGTCAGGCATGGTGGTTCATGTCTGTAATCCCAGCACTTTGGGAGGCATAGGCGAAAGGATTGGCTGAGCCCAGGGGTTCAAGACCAGCCTGGGCAACATGGTGAGACCTCGTCTCTACAATAAATCAAAAAATTAGCCGGGTGTGGTGGCACATGCCTGTGGTTCCAGCTACTTGGAAGGTTGAGGCGGAATGGTTGCCTGAGCCCAGCAGGTTGAGGCTGTGTTGGTCGTAAACATGCCACTGCATTCCAGCCTGGGTGACAGTGAAACTCCGACTCAAAAATTAAAAATAAAATAAAATAAAAATCAAGAAGATTTGGTCAGGCATGGAAGTCCGAAAAAGAAATTAAGGTGTGAACCAGGATCAAGGAGAATTTTTAGTATCTACCATTAGGAACCAAGAGGTACTAATTGCTTAGGGTTATTCTTTTTGAAAAAACATTTGGTAGAATTGTTAAGGTTTCAGTGACATGTATGAAAAGATTTGTCTCTGGCATTGCACTGATAGGCTTCAATTTCTCACATTTAATAAAACCCTGGTCTTGAGATATCATATATTAGTTAAATGGATATATAAAACAGTGCCACCGACTGAATATGAAAGTTCTGTAGACTTGCCACAGCACTTCCACTGGAGTTTTGAGCAGTGTTGGAAGAATCTAACAAGTTACTCCAACAGATTTTAGAGCCTATAGTTGCTGTAAAACACATCATCCTATTGCAGCTCATCACATGATTACTTCAGTTTAGAGATTCTCAACTGGGAGGGCATTTGAGAATGTTATTTCACTTGTCAAAAGATTGGCGGCACTGCCAGTATTGGTTGCTTAGGGCAATGCTAAATGCCCATAATGAAAGGGACAGTCTTACACAAGGAGGAATTGACTGGTCCAAAATGCAGTGGTCCTCTGTTTAGAGACTCTGTCCAAAGTCCCTCTTCTTCCCTTTTACCACTCCTTGTTTTTGTTGTAGTTAAATAAATAACCTAATTTAAATACTATCATTTAAGAAGTCGATGTCAGATTTGCAATGTTTTTAATATTATAAAATACTTTAGGTATATTATTTGACAATGTTGTGAGTCAAGAGGGAGAGAGAAAAAATGAAGGTCTAGTTTTTAGCAGAACTAGGATTAAAAGTGATAGCGAGGAGAGAACCTTTAAAAAAAGGTATGTAGAGAACCTTTAAAAAAAGGTGTTAAAATCCTTCTTGTCTCTGGAAATAAATAATAACTGTATTTCTGTTTGAACAAAGAGGAAACTGATAATGCAGAAAGTCTCAGAAGATTATCAATCATGTACCAATCTGAATTATATTGTAACTTTTTTCTATTAAGAAAAAGTTGTGATTCATTGAGATAATAAAAAATGTTTTAAGTATGTTGCTGTTTTAGTTATCTGATACCAGATGTCAGGATATCTCAGTTGTTGGAATTGTGCCTGTGAGCTAGCAACAACAAGAGGTGAGGAAAGAAAAGGAGAGAAGTGTTAAATAAAGAGGGAAAAACAAATGAAAAGCAGATGGTGAGAAGGCAACTTCTCCGAGAATAGTAGCTCAGTCCTCCTGTGCCCTCAGGACAACACCTCATGTCATCCCTGCCTTTCTCTCTTTCATACCTAACACTGAATCCTGCAGCAAATCTTGGGTGCTCTATTGTAAAAATATATCCAGAACCCAGGTCCTGCTCACATCTCTTCTGCTGTCTGGGCCAAGCTACCACCGTCTCTTGCCTGGTCTGGGTATCGGCCTCTGACGTCACCTTTCCCATGTGCCCACACTCACATCCTCCCCCAGGCACCGCCCTGGGAAGCTTCTCACTCGTGCTGCAACCTCCTTGTGACATTGCTCCCCATGCTTTTGTGGCCCCAAGCTCTTCTCTTTCCCGGCTTTTATGTGGACATCTCCTTCTGAGTCCTTCTCTGATGAGATTGTTGATTGGCAGGCACCAAAACAAACAAACAAAAAACCAGAGATTGTAATCTCTATCTCCTTCTTCATAACTCCTCTTTATTTTTTTCTAAAGCACTTTCATGATCTGACTTAACACATATGTTTGTTCTACATTTGTTAATGTGGGTTTCCTCCCCAAAGGGTGGGGAATCTTCCTTCTGTCCACTCTTCAAGGGCAGTGCTTAACACATGGTGGGTGCTCACGAGAGGCAGGAATAAAAAGGTGGTGAAATGTAGTTAAGAAGCAATCGCAGAAACCAAAATTATGAGACCCTGACTGAATTATCTTAAGCTCTTGTTAATTGAGATACCGTACTTACTTACCTTGTGAAGATGGCTTGAGCTAATGTACGTGAGGACAGCACAGTGCCCACCAGTCCTCGGGAGAAGCTTCGTACTTGGTAGTAATGATGATGATGACACTGATGATTCTTGTGAGAAGGTAAAGACAAATGAAGGGAAATGGTTAAGCATTGTTGCTCTTTCCAAACATCTTTTATTAAAATCTTTCATGTTACTGCCAGTTCTTTGTTCTGTTCCTCGAAGAGAGCTCCCCTTGGCCAGTGTTAAATAAATACATCTATAAAAGTTTAGGCTCAGGTGCGGTGGCTCACGCCTGCAATCCTGGTACTTTGGGAGGCCGAGGTGGGAGGGTTGATTGAGACTAGGCATTCAAGACCAACCTGGGCAACATAATGTGACCCCATCTCTGGTGTGGTGAGGCATGCCAACAGTCCTAGCTTCTTGGAAAGCTGAGGCAGGAGGATCACTTTAGCACAGGAGGTTGGCATTACAGCGAGCCATGATTGGGTCTGTGCACTCGAGCCTGGGTGACAGAGACCCTCTCTCAAGAATTTTTTTTAGAGCCAGGCTTGGTGGCTCAGCCTGTAATCCCAGCACTTTGGGAGGCTGAGGTGAGCGGATTGCCTGAGTCCGCGAGTTCGAGACCACCTGGGCAACTTGGCGAGACCTCATCTCTACAATAAATAAAAAATTAGCCGGGGGTGGTAGCGCACACCTGTAGTTCCATTACTTGGAAGACTGAGGCAGAAGGATTGCTGGAGCCAGCAGGTCGAGGCTGCAGTGGCTGGGAGCGGCCACTGCACTCCAGTCTGGATGAGAGTGAGACTCCAACTCAAAAAAAGAATTTTTTAAAAGCTTACTAAGAAGGCAAGTGGAATCCCTAACATTTTATTCACCTGGGGGCATAGGGTGTCACCGGGGACCACCCTGTCAAACTGGGTGGTAGTCAGTAGGCCTTTGTGGTTATGGGTCAGGTGCGCATTTCTGACTGATCTGCACTAACCTCATTGTTGTTTTACACAAAAATATACATTTTTAACTTGGTGACAATCTCAAGTCTCAGAGAAAAGGATTTATTATGTTCGATATATGATGTTTACTAAGGAGGGACATGTTACATATGAGAGAGACGCTCAATATTAAAATGTAAAGGATGAACTTCATGGGTTAGCCCTCAATTATCTGACATTGTATTTATTGAATACTTACTTAGTAGGAGTTTATATTGGCTTAGCTAGCACTGAGCTCTCTAACAAGATGCAATGTCATGGAATACATTGCTTGTGCTAATTACGAATAAAAAAATTCAGATGACCAGGTCCTGACTTAAATATAGTGTCTTTGATTGTTCAAGGTGACCAGGTGAGTGGTTAAATAGCTCAAGAAAAGAACAAAAAAAATTCCAGCTATCCTTACTAACGATCTGGGGCAAAATGTCAAAGCACTCTTTTTTATGACAGTGGGCAGGCAGTATGAAGAATTTCATTAAATTACATATTCCTTGGGTGATTAACAACTAGAACATAAAGTTAATGTAAGCAGAGTCCCGTGAGTCAAGGAAGGAAAGATAAGTTATCATAACCAAGTGCATGAAGAAATAGTATGATTATGTTTAGTGTTGTGTGTATATATACATGCTGGAAACGTTTAAAGTATAACAGTGGAAGTTCTGCTTAAAGTGTCATAATTTTCATATATTATGAGTGACATCAAATGATTCTTAAGGCATACATCTAAGAAAGGACCATTTTCAAAGATTATGATTTAGAAGCAAGTATGTCATATACGTTTACAAGAAATGATTTTGTCTTATTTTACTGCACTGTAAATATATTGAACACAGATTTTTAAAGGAACAATCATAGCTCTTTCCAAACATCTTTTGTTAAAATATTTGCATTTTACTGCCAGTTTATGTGCTCTGTTCCTCAAAGAGAACTCTCTGTGACCAATGTTAGTAGAAATCCACCTTTCTACTTCAGTAACTTGAAAAACAATAATATAATGGGATTTGGTTGTGTTTGCATTCTACACAGTACAGTATTGATATAAGCAAAAGAAGGATGCTTACATTGTGTAGTAACGTACTCAGTGATGCTTTGTGTTTCTACTAACAAAGCTAATTTATTTCTTCTTAGTAATGATGCGACTCCACAGCAAAAATTTGATGTCATTCTGATGAGTCTGTTTTCAATTGTAGAGTAGAATGAAGGCCTAGTAAAGATTAGTAAGAAATCTTTTTCACTGTAGATGATAAATTGGAGAAGTAAACTCTCAGCATGGATTGAAGTTGATTTGGCAAGGAGTTGCTTTATAAATAGCCCTTTGAGCAAACTCTGCAGTTCTGTATGTGGTTTTAAATCACTGTCCATTTGTAGGCAGGTACATATTACAATTGTCTGTTTTTCTTTTTAGGGCTCATGTAATCAAAGAAGTTTCTTTGTTGTGTGTATCTTTACAGAACACAACAGGAATTGAAAATGAATCAGGTGAGTTTAAAAATAAGAATTTATACAAATACATGACCTAGATGTTAGACCAGCTCTTGATTTTTAAAAGATAGTAACATACACATTCATTCCCCTCAGATTTTCATTTTTGTTTCTTAATACCATTAATTAGTTCATTGCTTTCATGTTGTGCATTTCTTTGTGCAGTAGAATGTGCATTGTTTGGGCGTGGGTTGGCATTTCTGTGGACCTCTGAGTAGAGAATTTATTTTTAGGGATTTTGGTTATGACTTTCTTTTTGACTTCTCGCCTGCCACACTCCAGTGTGAGTTTTTTGTTTTATTTTAAAATTTATTAATCTTTCATTTTTAGCACTTTTAACTTTGTAATTATTCATTGGTTGAAAAGGGAAGATTGAAAGTTGTTTTTAGAAACTGCAGCTGATCAAACTAGAAACTTTAAGCACTTTGTCCTTGAAAAACTTGTTCACAGAATAAAAACAAGAAGGCAGATATTGAAATATAAGATGTGTTTCTCTTTACAGAAAGTGTGGGATTACCTGGTGATTAAACTGTTCTGCTATGGCTATTTCTATAGCCCCAAGGGTGTTCTGATAAGTAGAACCAGTTATGTGGATCTAATATATTCTAGAGTAGGATTCTTATTTTCTGATCTCAATATCATTTCACTTGCAGTTAAAGAAATTTGTGAGTGTTAAAAATGTTTCTTTTTAAAAAATTCATAAGCTCACATTTTTAAAATGTGAAGGACAAGACCTAAAAATATGAAGTGTGTAATTTTTTTTAGTCCTTAGCTTAAAGCTCTCAGACTTGAAAACATTTTCTGTCTGTCACTAACTGAAATGTTGGACACCTTTTTATCATTTACAGGTGCTTCTAGCTAGAGCTCACAAGCCCAATTTAATTAGGTGACCAGTTTAATAACTTCATTCCACTGTTGGATGGAGAGATGTGAAATGTTTGGAATGGATTCTTTTGATTTCTTTTCATTACTCTTTATCAGAAATATGTTTATTTTAATGCAGAGGACTATACATCATAAAAATGAATCTGGTGGACATATGGGGCACATGGTTTCTATTATTTTAAAACTTACAGATTTACTGACATGCTTTTGAAGGCAAATTATTTTTGAAATGGTGAGATGGGGGAGGGAAAAGAGAACAGTGAATTTTCACAGTCATCGTCCATCAAACTGATATGCATATATATTTTATAGATTTCATTTATTTCCCTATTTTAAGATTGATTCTTAATGTGAGCCTGGTCACCCAGAGGAGCTTGTTTTTCTACTGTCTAGGAACTGTTGGTAGAAGAGTGTTGATTCTGCCTTATAATGATTGTGAATGTTTCTGAAGTGGAATCCAAATGTTCAGCAGCCATTTGTTTGATGTGCCTACGACTTTAACCTTAGGTTTAATTATGCCTTAATTCTTGTATAGTACTAGGCTAGTGATATTTCTAGTGTGTTTAGAATTGACATTTCACACTTCTGCTTTAATATTTCAATGGTATCAAACAAACGTGTTTAAAAAAGTCCATGCACCATTCAAAAGAGTTGTAGTAATAACCATTTCTTTTTCTTTTTCTTTTTTTTTTGGTTCTTTTACAGTTTCATTTTGCTTTTGACAGGTTTGAATATCAGATCTGCAGAGGACTGCCTTTGGTGCCCAATATCGGTGGAAAAGTGTCCTCTTATGTTTCTAATAGTTAACACGTTTCTTATTTGGGTGTAATTTAAATGGTCTGGTAGTAATGAAACTTTTATTTGGATTGTAAAAATTGTCTACTTTTTAATAAGTAAAATGTTCAGCATCTTTTGTTATATTTTCATTATTTGGAGAATACTAGTTGGATGCTATTTACATCTGATTATTATGTCATGGCATAAAATCTGTCAGTGTTTTCCAACAATCATCCCCGTAATTTTTTTTTTTTTTTTTTTTGAGTTGGAATCTCACTCTGTCGTCCAGACTGAAGTGCAGTGGCCGCTCCCGGCCACCGCTGCCTCGACCTGCTGGGCTCTGGCGATCCTTCCGCCTCAGCCTTCCGAGTAGCCGGAATTACAGTCGTGCGCTACCACGCCCTGCTGATTTTTTATTTATTGTAGAGATGAGGTCTCGCCAAGTTGCCCGGGCGGGTCTCAAACCCGTGGGCTCAGGCAATCCATTCACCTCAGCTTCCCAAAGGCACGGGATTACAGGCTGAGCCACCAAGCCCAGCTTCATCCCCGTAATTTTTAAAGATTAAGAATTTATTTTAGGATAGTTTATTGTTTTCTCTCTTGTATTTATTCCTCTCATTTTCAGCCACTGAAAAGGAGCAATAAATGTTTGCAAAGTTTCAATAGCTACACAAAAGTTTAGATAGAAAAAATTTGAACTTGAACAAGATTGACATAATTAAAACCTTGATGGTTGTTTTAGGGCTAGATTATTCTCTCTAGGAATTTATCAGCATTGCTTTGATGGATTTTAGCTGTCAGATCTGTCTCTTATGATGGGTATGGTCTTTAGGACAGCAGCACAGAAAAATTTGTTTAAATATACCTGACAGTTTAGTTTTAGGCGCTGAAGGATTTTATATGTGGCCATACCATATTGTTTGCAAACGGTTCCTTTAGAGAAAACAATAGAGATTGAAGCCTGCCAGTATTTTAAGCACTGATTATTGAAGCAGCATTCTGAACTGTTGGGCTCAGGGCTCAGTCGTATCAATGTGTTGCAAGTCCATCCTGGTGTGATAGCTTGCAGGGCTCACCCTCTGAGCCCAGCTCTGAGACTCCACAGACCCCCAGACCCACATATTCTTTTTCTTTCTCTTCCATTTTGTTCTTCACTCAAAACCTACCCTTTTCTTAATATCTCTTATCTTCTAGACTTGGAGCCCAGCTTGCTTTGCACATGAGCCTTGGGTTCTTCCATCTGAGCCCATGCCTGGTTGGCAGCAGGAGGAACATTCACTGTGCTTCCTCGGCCCTGGCCACCTCCCCCATGTTCCCTTCTCTCCATTTTCAGATCATAGGTGTCCTACTTGCTTCCTTAACATTCTACACCCATCCTGATGTTTAACTTTTGGGATGTTCCACAGCTTTCCTTCTTATTTTCCTAGACTTCCTTAGGGAAATTCAGAACTGTATAAGTGACTCTTTCATTGAATAAAGAGTTTAGAATACTTTATAGAATATCCAAGGCCAGCTACATTCTATAATGCAAATATGCTCATTGTAGCTTAGAGTAGGTATGCCAGAGTTCTACTTGCTATCTAGTGAGTGCTTGACAAGCATGCTAGTCACTTTAAGCATTATATGGGCATTGTCTTGTTAATTCAGTCTTTGTAACCTGGCTTTATGAAGCCCAGGTTGTAACCTTCATTTTGTGGACAGAACCAATAAAGGCCCTGGGAGGTGGCCGTGGCTCGCCTGTGGTCACTCAAAACAGTAAGTGAGAAAGCTCTGACTCAAACAGACCTATCAGATTCCAGAGCCCAAGTTCTTGATCACTGTGCTGTACTGCTGTATCATTTGGGATAAAGTATGTTATGCTGAGGTAACAAGCAAGTCCCAAATCTTAGTAACGTAACACAGCAACAGCATATTTCTTATTCTTGCTACAGATCCAATGGATCTGTATAGGACTCTGCTTTTGTAGTCACTCAAAAACCAAGGATGATGGAGGCTTTGTCTTAATACATGATATTTGTGCTTGTGTTAATTGGCCACTGTTAGTTACATGGGCACATCTAACTTAAAACTCAGGTTGGGAGAGCAGTGCATCATGTGCCTGGGAGGAGAGGGGAACTGCAATATTTGGGGACAGGCCTAATTGTTTATAACTGCCTTGATTACTAATTTATTGAGTCACACTTAGTTTTTTCCAAAGAGAATCTTTGTATATTAAAATTATTATTAATATTTGCCATTTTCTATCAATATAGTGGCTTATGATCATGACATTCTACATGTCGATCAGTAATCTGGGGTATTACCACTAGTCAGTAGCAGTACGTTTTAGCCTTTCAAGTGTGTGTTGTTTTTTTTTTGAGTTGGAGTCTCACTCTGTCACCCAGACTGGAGTGCAGTGGCACGCTCCTGGCCACTGCAGCCTCGACCTGTTGGGCTCCGGTGATCCTTCTGCCTCAGCCTCCCAAGTAGCTGAAACTACAGATGCACGCTACCATGCCTGGCTAATTTTTGATTTTATTGTAGAGATGAAGTCTCACCAAGTTGCCCAGGTGGGTCTTGAACCTGCGGGCTCAGGTAATCCACTCACCTTGGCCTCCCAAAGCGTTGGGATTACAGGCTGAGCCACCGAGCCTGGCCTCAAGTGTGTTTTAAAGACTAGTAACCAAAGAAGTTTTTAATCACTTGATGCTATAGATCCAACCCTGAGAATTGTGATCCAGCCATCCACAGGTCCATTATCTCAGTTGTCCCAAATGTTCAATCATTCCTTCTGTTATTCATCCTGCACAGACTGCATCCCACATGTTGTGGGCTCTGCAGTGAACTAGGTAGGCACAGGCTGTGCAACTTACATATTGCAAGAGGGAGATATTTAAAAAACAGGAAGACAAGCAAGGTTATTTCTGATAGTGAACAGTGCTATGAAGATAATTAAACAAGGTCCTGTGATACAGGATGTTGGGTGGAGGTGGGAGGAGGTTCTTTGGGTTACATGGTCAGAGAAGGCTGCTCTGAGGAGGTGACTGATGGTAGAGCTGAGACTCCTGGAACCAGGTAGATACACAGAGGTGGAGAAAGAAAATTCTAGGCAAAGCGAATACACAGTAAGTGCAAGGCTCTGAGTGGGAATGAGCTTGGCAGTTCCAGGAACAGAAAGCAAACCAGGGTCTGGAGCTTGGCCTCATCAGGGACTCTGGGATAAGATGTCATTGGTCTAGCTGGGCTCGGTGGCTCAGCCTGTAATACCGCGCCTTTGGGAGGCTGAGGTGAGTGGATTGCCTGAGCCCACAGGTTCGAGCATCGCCTGGGCAACTTGGTGAGACCTCATCTCTACA